ACCTAATAGTGATATTTAACGAAAGATGACGATTTTTAATTAAAAATTTCAATATGTTCGTAGGTCAGAACCACAGATATTAGAACTTTATTGTTGTACAATGAAATGAGTGATCTTAAGTCGGTAGATGCGACTGTCTGGGACCAACAAGTATAAATAACAGCTAAAATAGCAACAGGAGCATAAAGAAGCAGTAAAAGTTAACTTTATACAGTTACGCGATTGATTGGCTGCCGACAAACGAGTTATGGACAATTTAAATTCTTTGTCTCGGATCTGCTTTCCAGAGAATGAACTTAAATTAAATTATTTTCTTTGCAAAAAGATACAACAGGTATCCCTTATACACTAGGTCAAACCGTGTAACGAACTTTAATAGAATAAAGTGAAAAGAGGTGCCTCTATTATTTCAAAACTGTGCTCAATAAAATGTACCAGAAATACAGAGGTTGTTCAAAGTAAAAGCGAGGCACTTTTAACTCGATAAAAATTTATATTTTCTATTATTCTGGTAGATGTAATAATACTGCCTTAGGCCATAATTAGCGAGATTTATTGATGAATTCTTGAGGCATTTCTTTCATTACCCTATCTCTTCAAACCTACTATGTCTTTAATCTAGTGTCCGACCGAAAGTTCGGTTTCGGTTTCGGTCGAGTTTCGGCAAAAAAACGAGTTTCGGTTTAGTTTCGGTTTCGGCGGGAAGCCTGCCGAAACTACGACCGAAACCGAAACAGCGTTCGGGAGTTCTCGCGCTCAGTTCGGTCATGTTCGGCGCGATAAATTCCATCCAAGCGAAGTATACTATACTTACTCAAATAAACATCTCACCTATTTTAAGTATTTTTAAGGCGCAATTAAAGTATTTCCTTAAATGAGGGGTTGTTATGTTGATTTTCATTTGATTACACTGGTCAACACCATTTTTGTTTCCTTAATTTTTTTTACTTTTATTGGGTATTTCTATAGCTCTGATTTTGAAAAAAATATTGGATGATTGCTAACAGCTTTACTTTTTGAAATATACGATTTAATATTTCGATTAAGTAATACAAAAAAATTACTATATATGTAAGCTAAATTTCAATTGTACGCTATCAAATGATCTTTTAGACGATTTCCTTAAATGAACGACATCAGGTTGATCTCGTTGCAAACTCCAACAGTAGTCGGCCATCATATGGTAGTCCCACCTTTCTTGATAACGCTCTTCCATTGTCCGTGTATCTTCATGAAATCTTTCACCCTGCAGTTCACTAAAATCACCCACATTTTGTGGGAATCGATCTAAATGTGAGTGTGGGAGGTGAATTTTAATG